AAGGGGATTCTGGATAGACTCTCAAATCCCCATTAAATCACCATTAAAGTCAATTAAATCACCATTAAATCACCATTAAACCACAAGTAAGCACCATTAAATACACATTTTTGGTTGGTTGTGTTGGATATGGCTTTGTCTGAAAATGGGTACCCCCAATTCCGATGATTTTATGTTTCTCACGATCCCCATTTTGAAAATGGTGATTTGGAGGGTACAATCCCATTGACACACCAATACGGAGGTTTCCATGGTCGTGGGGGTACCCCTAGTTCTCATCCAGCTATTAGATTGGGATTTTCCATAAAAAATCAACCAACCAATCCCCATTGGGGTACCCCCAATTTAGGAAATCTCCATATATTCCCAGTTGTTAGTCGGTGATGCCGGTGCCCTGATTCATCCAAAGATCCACTTTTCGGTGCGCCCAGGCACTGAAAAGCAGCGTGGTTTGCTGAATGAATTCTCTCGTTCCTCGTTGACTAAAAACGTCGCGGTTGGGCTGCCAACAGGGGGAATCATTCTTAAATGGTTTCAGGTTGATGAATTAGGAGCATTTATCAGGAAATGTTGGAGATTTCTGGATGAAGTGCTATTGGTGAATGGTTGCTTTTTGGTGCTTTTTTTTGGCGTTATCTTGGAGCCATTTTTGATCGAAGAAGAGTTCAGGTCCATTGGATCTCCCATCAAAATGCTGTGTCAAAGCCGATTGGATCACTCCCTATCTTTTAAGGGTTCGAAAAAGGCCCATCGGAAAATGGCACATTTAAGGGCATAGTTCATGAGGTTTACCATGGTGTATACCAGTTTGCCACATGAAAAAAACAACATGTTTGGCAAACATGTTAGTCAATTAGACATCGTCATCCCAGGTAGGATAACAAATTAGAAAACAACACATTTCAATCCATCAATCAACCCACAAGAAACACCTTTCTTTTTATATTCATGGCTCTTATGATCTCCCACAGGCAACTGTAGAAACTCACAGTTGGACCTCATAAAACGCTCACATTTCGAATATCTCACCTATTTAGATCTACTTAGATACTTTTGTTGGTAGGTAAACCCACCTTTAATCCAATTCCTGATAAGCAGCCTATTTTGGTGAGCCCGGCCCTGAATTCTCTCAAAGTCCTCGAGGTCGTGACCAACACTTCACGGAGGTGGGGTTTCAAATGACTTGGTAAGACATGGATGTGGGTCAAAATGGAAGACCTAGGGGACCACAGATGTGAATGTCTAGTTTAGTATTAACCATCCAATTATTGGGGTACCTAATTTTGACCCATACCCACATGTGTTTGAATATGTTTTTCATTCAAGGACCTCATGTTTTTTTCCACAAAAATGAATGGAATTTTTTCAGAGGATCGCCGGGATAGCTCCATGGTATTTTTGCTTCGTTCGAGCATTGGGGAAGTGTGTCCTGGTTGGAAGGACCTCGTCGGATTGAGGCGAGTCAGAGGTTGTTTCTCCCGATCCCACGTTTAGATACTGTACATTAAGGTCTCATATCCATTGAAGTGGAAAGGATTTCAGTTCCGTGGTTGCGTCCATGTTATGGCGGATCTCTTGGAAACTCCAGGAGAGAAACAGGTGAGAATTCTTGGAAACTCTTCGCCCAGTTTTAAGAGCATCCCTTTGTCATTTACATGGCTGGTTCACGCACTAGTGGAAAGTGACACCAGAACAGAGGTGTGTTTTTTTGGGTACATCGGACGGTGTTTGTCCAGTATTATATGTCGTCTTCGGTTTTGTTGAGTATATTTCTCATCATTAACCATAGATAATACCGGTATATACCCATCATTGATCATTAACGGATATGTTTCAATCATGAATCGTTAACCATTGAGCAATTGCCAGGCCAGACCCATCTTGTTTGTTGAGGGTTAGACGGGCCTTAGCATCAAAAACAAAGGCAACTAAAGACACAGAAAGGAGCTGCAAGCTAATGCAAGTTAGATGTGGAGAGGATCACGTTGGCGATGTGGGGTAGTTGTACTGTGCACCATGGTTTTTCATCAAAGTTGTTTGGAAACAATCTTTCTCAGCAGTTTGGTAAATAGTTGAGCCTGATTCAACCGAGAACGGAAAAAAACTTGACAAAATGCCTTGCAAGATCTGCTTCGGTGAAGGATGGCTGAGGATGGTTAAGGCTGGTTTTAGGTCCAGAATTTGGAATACGAAGTAGGCATTGCAAGAGCTGATAACATCACTTTTTGATCGCTCTCCTCCGGGGCCAGAATCAGGGCATGACATTGGCTGACTGCATTCGAAAGTTGGACTATGTAGCCATATCCCATATTGGCGATGGTCATCAATCCATTAACAGGGGTTCATACAGCCATATACAGCCATATGCAGCCATAAAAAGGAACTCCTAATAGTGGAATGACATGGACTGACCATAAACCACCAATCAATACCAAATCCCAAGCAACTTGACAGTCACGACCATGGCACATCAAGCAACGCACCTTCGCCAGGAATATCAGAAGAACAAACCCCTGTGCTTCAGCGAAGCTTGGACGAAGCGATGCGGTGAGTCAAGGCCATAGTGCCATAGTCACCATAATCCATATGTCACCATCTCATTCACCAGGCGACATCAATTTCACCAATTTCAATAGGTAAACCATCTATAAATGGTTCATTTTCACCATTTCATGGGTCAAAAACTTTTTTTGGTTTCTGAAAACGACCACTTTTCCATATATAGATATGTTAAGTCATCAGAGGATATATATATATACACATTATATATGTATATATACACATTATAGATATGTATATACACATTATATATATACATTATATATTATACATAGATAGATAGATAGATAGATAGATAGATAGAGAGAGATAGATAGATAGATAGATAGATAGAGAGATAGAGATAGATAGAGATAGATAGAGATAGATAGAGATAGAGAGAGATAGAGATGGAGATAGATATAGATATATAGATATATAGATATATAGATATATAGATATATAGATATATAGATATATAGATATTTAGATATTTAGATATATACATATATAGATATAGATATATTGATATATTGATATATTGATATATAGATATAGAGATATAGAGATATAGAGATATAGAGATATAGAGATATAGAGATATAGAGATATAGAGATATAGAGATAGAGAGATAGAGATAGAGAGATAGAGATAGAGATAGAGATAGAGATAGATAGATAGATAGATAGAGATATAGATATAGATATTTGAGATATAGTTTTTTTTAGCTAATGAGTGTATCCCTAAATCTGGGATGCTTGGATGGTGACGTGCTGTTTCTTTTTTGTGCTGTTTTGGTGCTCCAAGGCCAAAACGTACCAGCGAACTCATCCGAAGAAGATGAGTTTGGGACACAAGGAGTGGCTCGTGGCAAGCTCGTCCAGTCGGGTCCAGTTCGGTCCAGGTATCACGCCATGGGGCATTCTTAGGGAGTCCCGGTGGGTGTGTGATAATTATAAGGTGGTATGACTTCAATGGTGGTATGACCATTATAAGGTATAAGGTGGGTATGTGAATGGAAGATAATTAATGGTGGTATGACTTTATCCTCTTTCAGCCATGCATAAGCTGAAAAAAACCAGCCCTATTCTGGGCGATTTCGACCAATCTGAATGGGGGTGATGTAGGTCCTACGAGTACTGGGATTCCGTCATCCGATGAAGTGATGATGCCCCGTTAGGAATCGCTAACTTGGGATTAACATAGCGATTCAATATGCTGCAATAACTAGGGTTTATGAATGTTTATGGTAGATATATCAAGCTATTGGCAGGTGCAAAACCAACATAGCTGGGGGCACCTGGTGTCCAAACCACCACCCCGAAACCACGAAATACCACGTGGATCCACGGTGATTTGTCAAGTTTTCAGTAGCTGGAATGCCACTGAGAAAAAGGTCGCCGACCAGGGGTGTTTTGTCCTCAACTGGTTGATGGGGATGATGGGATATACTGTAATATGAGATAGCAATGATGTAATATGATATAATACAATATAATACAATATAATACAATATAATACAATACAATATAATACAATATAATACAATATAATACAATACAATATAATATAATATAATACAATATAATACAATACAATATAATATAATATAATACAATATAATATAATACACTATAATATGATATGATGTGATATATGATATGATATGATATGATATGATATGGGATATAGTATGATATGAGAGCAATGATCTCCAATTAGGTTTCTTTTGTTTTTTTGACGATGTGGGACCTACTGGCCACCTCGAGCCGTGGATTTTGCGGCTTCCCCAGAATGCGAGGAGCAACATCCGGAATCCTCAGGAGAGTTTGACCCACCATAGTAGTGATCCACAATTAACCTAGATGTAAAATGATTAAAAATGAGTCATTGGGATTCTCTAGAATATGTATGATTATATAATATTATATATATACACATATAATATTATATATATATACAGTTGTACACATATTTGGGCTATTCACAGATATATTAAGCAGCCTGGAAGAACTTAAACCAGACCAAGCTGAGTTATCCAGAATCCTATCCTCTGCATCCCGGCAGAAGTTTGATTCCTCCATTCCGAACGATTGTCTTGGCTCAGTATGACTGAAGTTGACAACTCCGGATGAAGCAGGAAGAGATCCACGGAAAATCATGTGGCTTATCATGCAATGATTTTTGTTGGGATCCAATTAGGTGGAACAAATCTGTTGACATATGAAAACAATTGACAACAACTTTGGAATTGTTGGACAAAAATCGCACCATGCTTAGCTACCATACTGAAACAATGCACAATATCTCAATACAGATATGATAGGATATGATAGGATATTGTTTTTATTATTATCATCATTTTATAATAATAATTATTGTAATTATATATAAATATATGTATATACAGCACATATATTTATACAAAAATCACCGCCGCTGAACGGCAGCGCCTTTCGCCATGGGTTGCTGTGCGTCGACGTCGGCGGACGCAGGGCCGGGACCATCGCGGTTGTTGCGGCTGTCCGTGGGCAGCCAGAGTATCGAGGAGGAGAACGGCGACCGGCGGGTTTCAACCGCCGTGGAAAACGGTGGAAAGCCTGGAGAGGTTTGGAATTTCCCAAAAGTGACGAAGGATTTTGCAAAAACCCTGATTTCAGAAATGGGAACTAAGTAAGAAACAATGATTTAAGGAGCAAATCTGGTGTTTTTTTGCTGAATGTATCTGCTGGTTCGAGGGTACAGTCTCGACCATGCCCTTCCACAAGATAGTTCCCATGCCCATATTAATTGTAAATGGGGCATGCATCTAGTTCTTGGTTGCAGGTTTGATGGACAAACAAGATGGGCATAACTAGCAACAGACTGGGTAAATCCACAGACATTTGGGGTTTTAGTAACTTCTATGTTGGTGTTCTGAATCCATGACAACAAAGCTGGCTGAAATACCTAATCGATCAAGATCGGGGGAATGACTACCTCAGAATACTGTTATTACATCATCTTACGTCATTAGCTAGAATGGGTATACGAACGCGGGCCGCGCCCAGAACCGTTTTGAACCATTCCGCATTTTGCCAAAACATGGCTAGTACGAATCATCCCCAATTTTATTGTTATCATTTGTTATCATTACTATATTATTGGTAAGCATAGTATAGCAGAGTTATAGTTACAACACTAAACCACAATGTGTCATCAATGATGGCAATGCTCTCATATCACTACTATCATTACTTGGACATTGCCTCCACCCAACAAGGGTGCGACCTCACAGGGACGATGGTTAGTAAGAGGAATCATCCCCAAATGGCCATTCAGATTGGTGTTTAACATGTGTTTAACATCATTTATTCATCTATCATACATATTCATACATATGTATAATATACTGATATACATCTCTTGCCTTAATTACCAGATTATCCAACAATTTACCATAAGATTACCAGTACTGGCTGATGGTTTGACATCTTTCCGATTCTGCTAGCAGAGTTTTTTTCATGGGATGATGATCCCCCATTGATCTCAATGAACAAATCCCATGCCTAGATGCCATAGACGATTTCTCCCCAACTTTTTCCCATTTTTCCCCTTGAAATCGGGGGGCTTTTTCCCATGGATCCCATGGCTCCCATGGATCCCATGGATCCCCATCGGACACGACGCGCAGGACCCCACGAGTCGGGAGGAGGAACAGAACCGCGCGTCCTTTCGCTCCTGGACCGATCGCTCGGCCCAGCAGCCCGACCGATCACTGCACCAATACTGGGCTCCTTGGTGAAGCGGATCGGTGCTACCACAGATTGGAATGTCTATCTTTAGTATTAGTATGAAGCTTTTATGTTTTTTTTTTTTTTGGGGGTACCTCAATTTGGACCCATATCCAGATGTTTTCAAACTGGTGCATAAATGTTTAGTTTGCTAGAACTTAGAAGTCCATCGTTAAAAACAAACAACCGACATTTGAGTGATAGGTGGTGAGGTTTGCCAACTTTTTTTTTGGTTGGTTCGTTCATCATGACATAAATGTTTATAAGCTAGTTCGATATATCTACCATAAAAATCATAAAACCCTAGCTATTGGAGTTATAAACCAGCCATATTCTAGGTTTTCTTTCGTCTTTTTAGAGTTAGATGGGTTTACAGCACCCACAAGAGGTAAATTTCAAAGATCTTGGCTGCAAAGCCTACGTTTGACCGTGCCGGAAGTCAACTGAAGTTCAGAGGGGGTGGGGGATTTGATCCCTTGCGAAGATTAGATTCCCCTAGTAGAAAGTGTCCCTGTTAAACTTATGGATGTCTCAGTCGGATATCAGGATTGTTTGAAAGCAGCAGGCTACAGTCCTTACTTGTGTCGCTAGAGAGTAGCGTTTTTGGAGGGTGTAGATCATGTTTGAGTTAGATAGTAGGGGAAAGATCTTGTGGGTTTTGGTCGAACGTGGGGTTTGGCACCAACATCTTTTGTCAGGGGATCAAGAGATCACCGAGTCCTATTTACCACAGAACCACTGAAAGTAAACTTGTAACATTTAAAAGGGGATGAACAGAGTGCGAAGTCCTAAATGGCACCCCCGCATGCCTTAAAGGGATAGGTTCACCTCATTGCAACAGGGTTTCAGGGAGAGAGAGTTCTTTCTTGGTCTGGGTGGGGAAGGGCGTTTTTCCCCACCTGCCAGTTTCTAGATTCTATTAGAGTTATATACTTCCTCCTTCCGTCCCTCCTCTCCTTCCTTCCAACCGCGAACTCCAGATCTCAGTGGGCACTGAGGGGCCTCAACTGCGAACTCCAGATCTCAGTGCCCGTGTCGGAAAGAACATGAGAATAGATGCCAGATAGAATGCCACAAAAAGAATGCCAGATAGAATGCCAGATAGAATGCCAGAACAGAATATCAGAGTAGAATGCCAGACAGAATGCCTTAATAGAATGTCAAATATAGAATGCCAGATAGAATGCCTTAATAGAATGTCAAATATAGAATGCCAGAATAGATGCCAGAAAGAATGTCAGAATAGATGTTAGGTAGAATGTCAGAAAGAATGGAAAGGATGCCAGGTGGGATATCAGAATAGATGCAAGATATAATGCCAGGACGGACCGTCAGAGTAGAATGAATGCCAGAATAGAATGTCAGACAATATATGCCGTATATACTTCTAGATGAGATGTCAGAAACCATGACAAAAATGTCACGGTGGGGATCACTCGCAGTAAAGTATTTTTTTCGGGTGATGATGATTAGGATTCTAAACAACAAAAAGGGAACATGAACCCAAACACAAGGATTTCGACAAGGATGGAGCGGAAATGGGTGACATTATCTTAAAAAGGCATAAAAATCATAAGACATCATAAATATTTTCCAAGTAAGGTATGAATGGGAGATATCAAGGGATTTTTGCTATCCATTTTATTTCTGGTCATTCCAGTCCAGAACCAGTGGAGAAGGGAGTCATTGGGAAGTCATTTAGTTCAGTGTTTACGGTTTCTGTCCAAGGTTTTGGTTCAGAAAAACCAGTTGTGCCCATAGGGCTGGAATTTTCCTGGTGCCCAAGATCTGCAAGGGGCCAGGGGCCCTGAAAAACTTGACCATCGCCTCGGTGGTCATTTTTAGGGTTGAAATCGGTGCAACCAACTGATTCCGTGCAGACATTTCAAATCACCAAGGATTTGGTTCCCTTGACTAGGACCATTTTCCGAACGCGTTTCTAGACATGTTTTGGGCCATGCCCAAAATCCAAAACTGAACATCTGCCAAATTGGGGGATTCCCCCAATGATTTGATCTGGATTGGTTCAAATTCCTGTAATTTTTCATGTTCAACTCCTGTCATCGTATCGTTAGAACATAGAAAACAACAAAGATCGAAAAAACAATTCCAAAATGTTACAGATGATCTTTCCTTCATAAAATCCAACCATCCACAGTATTTTCGAACACTATTTGGGGTTGGTAAAATCACAGAGTGAATTACAAAGGGGAAAGCACAAAATACGTTCGACTTCTTTGCAATTCCAAGATGATTCATTTTTTTCTATTTTTTTTGGGGTTGATACCATCACAAAACTGGCTGGTGTTTATCAACTATGTTGAATGAATTCACCCAAATTTGGGGACGATCATCCCAAAAAATACATTACATTTCATATGTGTATTTTCCATATTTTTTTTCCAATCCTACATCCCAAATGATATTTCCTCATAACAAAAATCCCAGGTGGCTCGGCCATTTCAGTCGTTTTCCTCTTGTTGGGAGACTCAATGGATTGGTTTTTCTGGGAAAAAATACAGGAAAACTCCATCGAAAAAATGGGAAAATCTATGGTTTCCGGTTAAGATTTTCTCAACAAAACCCATCCATTTTGTCGAGCACGTCCGGGCAGCGTTTTGTCGACAGGTCATGACGTTGGACACCTTCCTGGGTGAAGTCGGTCGTCGGCCCTCGCTCTTCCAAACCATCGTGGATCTGCGTCGCAGGCGACGGGGCTGGTAAGAAACCAACAGGGGGACTCTCTATTTGGGTATGGATCAATACCTATAAATACCATTTTTAGTGGGATGAACATCCATTTACCAGCTATTTTGATGTTCACCAGGGGTACAAGGTTTTGACACACTGCCATTTGACCAGCAAAGTCATGGTGATTTTTTTAATGGGATTTTCCATGGGAATTTTGTTGGCGAATGTTAGCTAACTTGGTCAACTATGGTTGATGGTTGAGACATCTAATGATGGTTACTGGGGGTTATAAACCAATAAACATAGCTGGGGGCACCACCTTGCAGATCCAAGACAAAAGTACAAGTTTTGACGCTTTCTCTAATATTTTGAGGTGTCTTAAACAAAAACACATGATAAACCATGGTAGCCCCCACCCCATGGATGGTTTGATATCAAAGGAGAAAACATACCCCTCTATGTAAATGTATGTACATAATATATATATATATATAATGACATATATAATTATCATATCCCGATTATCCATCTTATCCAGGACTTTCCCAACGAATTGTCCCTTTCTGCGGGATGTCAGGACAGCGCGCTGGTCCCGGCGCTTCAGTCCGCGCAGCTCCATGCAGAGTCGCAGCTCGATACCTGGCGATCGCAGCTCCGTGCAGAGCCGGGACCGGCGCGCCTACTTGGCACCGCAGGCACCGGGAGGACCGGGAGGAAGTGGCAAACTGTGGAGGTTTCCTAAGTCATGGCAAGCCAAGATCATCCGAAATGATTGGGAAAACCAAGGATAGCAATATTTTATATACGAAAACTCCAGATGTGGTGCTCCTTCAGAAACTATTTCTGGGGTATGTGGGTTGCTGGAAGATTCTGATATCCTTTGGAATAATTTTCAGGGGGTTCGTGCCAGGGAGGCTCTGAGACTCAGGGGATGAGGATTGGAGATTGGGGTTGGGAAAATTCCAGAGATCTTGCTACATTTTGAGCATTTTCTTTTCGGTATGCTTGATGCTTCAACCGTCAGATACCCTCTGGTAATTTAACATAGCTATTGAAAATCGCCATTTATAGTGGATTTACCCATTGAAAATGGTGATTTTCCATAGTTATGTTAGTTTACCAGAGGGTAATAGATATCCTTTTCCTACGGGTTGGTCACATAATAGGAGAATTACCCCATTCGCAACCATTTGAATGTAAATGATAATAAATGGTATGCCAGACCGGCCCCTCTACGGGATATTATCATCATAATTGAGAAAACTGGTTCACACGTGGCTCTACTAGCCAGAATGATTTTTTCGAGCGCATCCATGAACTGAGAATACCCATTAACGGAGCACTACGAGGGATTATCCAATAATTCATTGACATTGCTCAATTGTGGATGGGTGTATGTGGCAAACCCAAGAAGCCAATCGTCCCCAAAATCACCAGAAATTGCTTGGAGATTTTGGAAGTGATGTTGGGACATGATGATGGCATGTTTAATTCTTATGCAGAGCAAATCTGGAAGTATTCAACCAAATTAGGGGTATAACACCACCAACCAACAGAGTCTGGTTTAATATTGATTAATGGATATGAATGGTACACATGGGAATATACAAATTCAGAAGGGTTGTGAGGAATGGGGTAAACAAAATAAGGCATCAACTAAAAGCTATTTAAGGTATCAAACAAAATCATGCGCTGGTGCAGTGTTTGGGCCCTTTTATGCCCTTTTCAATACGTGTGGTACTTGAATCTCCGGGTCCTCCAGTCCCCTGGTCCGTTGGTCCTCTGGTCCCCTGGTCCTCTGTTCCCTTGGTCCTTCCGTCCTTTGGTGACTCTAGTGCCTTAAAACACTTTTAAGATAAGCCTCAATTCAACCAACCGTAAAAAAAACTAAATCAACCCCAAATAACCCCTAAACCAACCCCCAAGCCAAAGTAAGTCTTGAACGAACCCTAAACCAACCCTCAACCAACCCTAAACTAAACCTAAACCAACCCTAAATGAAGCTTGCATAAACCCTAAACAAAACCTAAACCAACCTTAAAGAAGTTGTAAACGAAACCAACATCAACTTTAAACCAATCTCAAATAATCCCTAAACCAACCCCAAACAAACCCTAAACACCACTAAAGAAACCATAAGCCAACCCTAAATACTAAGCCACCCCCAAAGAAACCCCAAAGAAACACTGAACCAACCCTAAATAACACCCAAACCAAACACGAACCAATCCTAAATACATACTGAACAAACCCTAAACAAACCCTAAAACCAACCCTAAACAAACCCTACATAACCGTCAAACAAACCACAAACCAACTCTAAATATACCCTAAACAAACCCTAAATAAGCTCTAAACCATCCATAAATAAACCAAAGACCAACCCTCAATAGATCGTAAACGAAACTTAAGCCACAAAGTCTTAAACGAAACCAACATAAACCCAAAACCAACCGTACATAAACCCTAAATAAACACCTAGTAGACCATAGGCCAACCCTAAACTAACCCTAAACCAACCCTAAACCAACCCTAAATAGCCCTAGCAATTAGATTCTAAACCAACTTTAAGTAGACCCCAAACCAAGCCTCAATCAACCCTAAACCAACCATAAACAAACTCTAAACCAACAAAAGTTGCAAGCAACCATCGAAAATAAGAGGTTCGAACTCCAAAGTGTTGCAGAGGCTGTCGAAACGGCAGCGTCGAGCTCCAAATGTTCACAAAATGTCAAAAAAAACTGCGAATGCACGATTTCCAGGTCCAATGTCCTGCAAAAACTTTACGAGCGAGAGGCTCCACTTCCAAAACAATGCAACTACCTCAGAAATGCTCAGTCTTGTCTCCAAACTGTTGCAAGGGCCACAGAGAACAAGGGATTGCAGGGGAATATTTTTTTTGACGCCTTAGACATTTTTTTGATCCCCACGGGAATATTTTTTTGGGTGCCTTAAATAACTAACTAACTAAATAAATATATATATATATACATATATGACATACACACATATATATATATGTATGTATGTATGTATGTATGCATGCATGCATGCATGTATGTATGTATGTATGTATTTGACCTCTCACCCATCCCGGTTGTGATGGGTAGTCATTTTCGCTTATTATGATCCGAAGGGGAAGGAGTGGGGAAACATCTAGATATTTTGTGCTTTTCTAAACGATTTATTCTTTGGGGGGATCGGGGTTGGGAGATTGTTTTCAGGACCGTTGAGAACGATATGTTTGGGCTCGATTGACATGTTTGGGCTCGATTGTTTGATTTGTTTGCGGGATGGGAATTTCGCAAGAAAATGGACCTCCTTTTTGGGAGGTGATTCTGAGTGTTTCTCTAGAGATTTTGGAATAGCGAAAGAACACCAAAGAATGCATTATTATGGCATACTATGGCTGTACGTTCCATTCCATCCCCATAAAATATAGGATTTCAGTTCAGTCCCATCTCAGTTCTGGCTAGTTCTGGCTATAGTCATAACTTACCCCCCCATGAAAATCTTTGGTGCGTGGAGGATCATCGCACTTCGTGGCAATCCTGCTGAATATCAGTGACCTAGTATCTTAATCACCTAGACAGCCTAGACTTATCTCCCATAATTGGGTTATACCAGTTATACCATAACCCTACTTGGTGGCTCATCCCACTTAGTAAGTAGGTTATAACCCCAATTATAAGTGGATTAACCCTACAAAAATCCTATTTATAACTGGGATTATAACCCACTTACGAGCCGTGGGTAGTTCGCCACCAAGTACGAACCCAGTTGGGAGTCGGATGTCCCATCACAGGTCTCCCGCCGCAGCCATGCGGAGAGCCAGCGACTGGGCCGTTTCACGAGGGAAACGACAGTGGGAGATTAACTCATGGGGATATCATGGGGCTTAGAATGGGAACAAACCAACTTCATATTGATGATAAGGTGGTGCCCTGTGGTGCCCTCCAGTTTTAGGTTGCTTTACAACCCCCTCAAACACATTTATATAAAAACTATCGACAAATCTACCATCAACCCCATGTAGTTCTTGTAGTTACTGTATTAGATTTCTAGCTCGGAGCACGTCCCAGTGTGGGCCACAGCAAAGTTTGTGCAGCGGGGGTTCCGAAAAAAGGGACTGCCATGATCTATATGTGAAGCCGTGAAGCCATCCTAAAACCAAATGAAAATAGGAAATGGGATACCCCAAAGTGTGTGTAAAATGTTGGTGGTTTGGAGCATGAATTTTATTTTCCATTTCATATATGAGATGTCATCCTTCCCATTGACTTTCATATTTTTCAGAGGGGTTGAAACCACCAACCAGTAAAATGTTGGGTATTCATCTCAGAAACTCAGACACCAGTCACGCTCTACAGAAAAACCTCATTCTCATGGCTCGAATCAACGTCGCAACACATGCTGAGAGAGTTGCCTTGGTTGTGGCTCCTGGCCGTTCATCCCTTTCACTTTGTTGTTGGCAAAGGCGGAAAACGAACCAGGACGGCATACAGCCACTGCCTTCTGCACAGACAAAACAACAAAGGGTCGAGTTCTCCCAAGGCCGAGTTCGGGTTGCAATCTGAGCAACCCGTTGTGCCATAAACCTACCATAACTGGGGATGGTTTATACAACCTATTTCGAGGTGATTCAAAATGGTGATGACTTGGGGATGGTTTGTGCCATTGGGTTTCCAACATGATATAGAGAACTATGGGGCACCACCTTTTTCAAAAAACAATGGTTTTTGGCAGCTGGAACTTCAGTGGGTATCTGGGTGTCACCAATGGACAGTGAAGGTCTTGCTGCTAACCCATTGATTGAACTTCAGTTTTCGAAAAAAGGGGGGTCCAGGAGTCCAATTTCTTTGAGTAACTTATCACTATTTTGGGGGTGGGGAATCACTACTTGGATCCTTTCCGCCTAACGCTCCTCCCAATTCCCCATTCCCGCTGGCCGCCGGTGCCATGGGGGGGATGAGCCTTTTCTAATGGCACCTGTAATAGGCACCTTTTTCTGTGGCTGATATTTGTGGAATATCATTGTATATATATATATATATACACTTTATATGGGTGTATCATATAATGATAGCCATGCTGTTACAATGGGTGTATCATGGGTTGTGGATCATAGTAACTATCCTGGATTTCTGTTTATGAAATTGCTAGGATCGCAACCATTTTTTTCCACGACCCCCATTCTGGCTACATACCTCGGGAACATCTTAAATGATTCAATACTTATCAATACTTCAACATCCTGAAATGCAGAAAATCACTCCCTGGTCGATTTTGACGATTTTGACATGCTTTGATTTTTGGGGTGCTACCAGATTACCAGGAGATCACATCACTTTGAGTTGGGCATCATTGTTGGAATGCACCGGGTCTGAAAATCGCACCCAAAACGACACTTTTTTTTTTATGTCGACAAGTATAATTACCCGGCCTGGTAAACAAACATAGCAATTGAACATGGCCATTTATAGTGGATTTACCCATTGAAAATGGTGATTTCCATGGCTATGTTAAAGAACCAGAGGGTAACACATGTGGGAAATGATGATTCACCCGGTGTCAGGATATCCTTGCCTTGGACAAAGCGTACTACAGTTCTGTCGAATTTGGGTTCTGACATCGCGTTGCGATATATCAAGCGATAAAGGCCTTTTGGTAAACTCTTCATTGACCGTCGAAATGGGGTCAACATGTTTCACCAAATTTCACGAAAAATCAAGGCAATTCTGGCTCATGATCAATAATAACATGGAAAGTCATTGGGTACTTACTACTGGGTCCGCTTGTACACTAGAAACCACACCCACTCTGGAAAACCCTCTAAAACCATGGATAATACGCAACAAACCCATGGGTTTGCAAAGATGACAGTAGTCTCTACATGAAGATGGGTTGACCATGTTGCCACCAAACATGGATGGTGAAGAACAATGAAGGACCAATGTTTGGTGCCGCTATTTGGGCCGCCTTTTGACCCTAGAAACCAGAATAGGAACCCAATGAAGAAGTCAACTTTACCATTGTTTTTGAAACAATAATCAGCATTCTCTAAGATACCTCATAGCAATGTTATACAGCCAATCATAGAATCTTAGGCATATATATATATAAGTATTATACAACCAATTAATATTCACCACATATGTTTTTTTTTCTAGGTTTCATACCAAGGATAGGAATGCTGTATTGAAACGTTTTTTTCATTCTCCTGAGGTCAGCGATGGTAGGGTCTGACATTGGAAGAAGGATTGTGCCTCGGTGGTGTCTGTCGCAGATATAAACCCTTTTTTCGGAGGTGAAAAAAGATGTTAAAGATTGAACATAGTGGCCATATTACATATTCTTTTAGAATCTGAAAGAATGTTTGTTGGGTAACATCTCAGAGGTGGTTGATTCGTTCTGTTCTATGATTTCCACCATTGAAACACGAACAAAACGATTGGAACCACGACGAACATCATGGAAAGAGTAGTAGTTGGGACCATGGGCGTCGTTTCAGTATGCGAAAAAAACGTGCAGCTGCAGGGGTTACATCCCAACTAATTGAGGTTTAAAATACAGCCATTTGTAATCTCAACTGCATCCCCAAGTATACATAACTGAAGAAAAAAGAGGGAATGACTGATAAATAGACACATTTGGTTTTGAGCCAACATGTTTGTTTTTAAATCAAACCAGCAAGCATAAGGATTTACCAAGCTCTTTCTAGGATTCAATCAGTCATAGTTCTGAGGGAACCGACTGTAGGATTCATGCTTGTTAAACTAGGAATCATGGGGAACGACTTGACTAACTTGAGCTGGAGCTACAATTTTGACTGAACATATCAGCCAACGAAATCTACAAAATCATAGGCAGAACCACCAAAAATACCGTTTATCCACCCCAGAAGAGAGTGGACAAGGATGACACGGCTGCCGTGAGAATAAACGGGTTTCCCACTGCACCAATTGGTGCAGAAAAGGGTGTAGATTGCGACATTCCTAAGGGACAACCATTTTCCGTGTTCCATGTTGGATCTATGTGGTGTGGCTTCCTCTGAAAAAGTTTTTTGCTTTTTCTATATGCAAACGTTCCAACAATCCATTTGGATGTTTGAAAACCAGTGTTCACAGCAGTTTCCTCAAATTGCACAGTTTCCATTTTCACTCATATATATATATAATCATATAAATTAAATAAATATACATTTTATATATGTAGAGACTATACGTATATATACATATATATATATATTTGATGTGTTCATTTATACAAGGCACATATGTGCACTTGCATGCAACCCTAATATCCGTTGCTTTGGATGGAAGACAACTCCATGGGTCAAACACTCAATGCTTGTCTGGTTCCAGGTACATATGTTGGAAACAAATGATATATCATATATCCATGTACCAGTACACATTTAGTCCTTGAATGTATGTATACATAGATATGTGTACATGTATAGTAGCCACCCAAAAATAGAAACATAATGTATCACTGTTTTTGCCCGCAGCACGTGCGCTACGCCCCACAGATATTCCACTACATATATTTTCACAGGTTTGTTTCAGGGTTTATCTAGGGTTTCTTCAGGGTTAATTTATGTTTTCTCTAGGTTTTTTTCTGTTTATTTAATGGTTTATGGAAAAAGTGACGAACAATAGTTTTTTGGGACAGCAGATTCACTGCAGAGGGTCATCAACGACGTCTTTGGGTTCGCAAACCCAGCCATCTTGTTATTAGATTGCCAAATGCTAGAAAGCCACAACGTACTGTACTGTAAACGTCACCAAAAATGAGGGTTCCGACAATCATCCCGAAAGACTTTGGGGCATAGCGGCATACCACAAGTGCTGGCCGTATTTTTGTAGGATTTCAATTTTATTCAATTTCCTCTTTCTTGGTTACTATATATATATATAATAATAAATATATAATATTACATAAATACAAATACATTTATCCCTATTAAACAGACATTAACATATGTTCCTTGCACACCTGAGACCAGGTCCTTTTTTTTCGCTTCTGAGGAATCCCTCAATGTGTCACAAGCCACCAACAGAAGCTCGGATGGAATCTCAAGGGGAAAATGATGATTCGCCACAAAAAACAGAGTGATGATTATGATAGTGATGAGGATGATGGTGATGATGGTCATGGTGTCATGGTGATGGTGATGATCATGATGATGGTGATGATGAAAATGACGATAGTGATGATGATGAAGAAGAAGATGATGATGATGATGATGTGCTCTGTTTTCAGAGCCATGTTTTGGAATTTGGGAATTTGTGACTTTGCTGGAGTCATCCTAATCCAGATCCTGCTGGAAATCCTTTTGGTTTTGAACGACGGGAGCAAAACGAATCAGATTAGCCCATAGTGGGGGATGGTCATCAATATCAATTCATGCTCCTCCGTTGATCACATTCATTTCATGCAACTTGACCATGGCAAAATATGGCCATAAAAAAATATCTATCCATCTAATCTATCTATCCATCCCATCCCATCCCATCCCATCCCATCCCATCCCATCCGATCCATCCGATCCATCCTATCCTATCTTCCTATCCTATCTATCCTATCTATCTTATCTATCTATCTATCTATCTATCTGTCTGTCTGTCTATCAATCTATCTATCAATCTATCAATCTTATCTTATCTTATCTTATCTAATCTAATCTAATCTAATCTAATCTATCTATCTATCTTTTTATCTATTTATCTTTTTATCTATCTATCTATCTACCTATCTACCTACCTATCTATCTATCTCTCTGTCTGTCTGTCTATCTATCTATCTATCTATCTATTTATCTATCTATCTATCTATCTGATCTATCTGATCTATCTGATCTATCTGATCTATCTGATCTATCTGATCTATCTGATCTATCTGATCTATCTGATCTATGATCTATCTGATCTATCTGATCTATCTGATCTATCTGATCTATCTGATCTATCTGATCTATCTGATCTATCTGATCTATCTGATCTATCTGATCTATCTGATCTATCTGATCTATCTATCTGATCTATCTATCTATCTATCGATCTATCGATCTATCGATCTATCGATCTATCGATCTATCGATATCGATCGATCGATCGATCTATCGATCTATCGATCTATCGATCTATCGATCTATCGATCTATCGATCTATCTATCTATCTCATCTGATCTGATCTTATCTTATCTTATCTTATCTATCTATCTCTCTAACTATCTATCTGCCTATCTATCTATCTACCTATCTATCTATGTACCTATCTATCTATCTATCTATCTATCTATATATATTCAATATTCTATGGAGACTATACGGTATCCACCATTGAAATCCAATCATTGGCATCTCAGCATGGGCGCAGCGCCAGTGCAGGCGGCAGTTTCAGGGTCAGTCGTGCGAGCCGCGTCAGCTTTGACCCTGGCCTGGACGAAGCGAAGGGCGACGGTCTAGGCCTGCAGGGTTAAGTCGATTTTTAATAGTAGAGGTTGAACATAGGATTTGCACAGCAAGGACAGGATGGATATAAGATGATATATACACACATATATATAAGTACATTATATATATTGTATACACATAAATAATATAATATATATACACATACATAATATAATATATATATATACATACACATTATTTATATATATACACATTATATATATATACATACATAGTTGAAATATATCGACCCCTGAGCCCCCACTACATGTAGCATAAGCAGGTAGGTATAGTGTGATGTATAAAGCTTAGCTATGAGTCGAATTCACTCCAAGTAGACACACCCAAATACAGTTGTAGCACCACTTTCCTAGAAGCGTTCCATAATTAAAGGTAGGCACTATCCCCAACCCTAAGAACCACCTGGGTCAGGGTCTAATAAGTGTGCTATCGACGTTAAGGCTCAAGTGCCTTGGGAGAAAAGCCGCTTGCTTAATGACAGGGTTATCGAAGGATCCCCTGGTTGGTGTTCCGTCCCCGCGTTCACTTACATTCTATGTATAAATACACATTCTATATATATAAATACACATTCTATATTTACATTATATATAATACATACAATAAATAATATATATATATAAACACATAATCTATATATATATACACTATATATATACACATTTCTCTACATTATATATACACTTTATCTATATATATATATTTATTATATACACATTTTATACATGTACATATATATATACACATTATATATACATTGTATATATATATATTCATATAAACATATACATTATATATATATATTTACATTATGTATATACATATATATATACTCATTATATGTATATACATTTTATATATACGAATAAATAAATAAATACATAAATAAATAAAAATAAATAAAAATAAATAAACATAAATAAATAAATAAATACACAAATAAATCATCTATATAAATATTAATTTATATATATATATTAACCGCAAAAAGGGAAATGAACCAACGAACCAACTAATCATTTCGGCTGGTCCTCAGAAGGTTTGCTAGGTGGGACATGCTCTTTTTATGGGAAAATCAGCTGGGGAAGGAGATTTCAGTGCATTTCTTTTGGCCTGGCTTGATTGCCCAAGGTTTTGTATGGACGATTTAGTGACAACCAATGTGCAAGTCATCAGTCATCCCACTTTTGATATGATCAAGTGCTTCTTAAACAATCCATTGACAGACTCTACAATTGTCCCATATCTGATGAAATGAGGGTAGCCGCAGGATCCGCAAGCCCCCTCTTGGCGAGTTTTGTTGGATCCCAATCCCGTACCTGGCAAGTCGACATTTCCCACTGGCTCATGATAGAAGGGCACCAAGAAGGGCACCCTTAAAGAAATTTGGATGAAACAGTAGCTGGAGAGACTCCCGGCGCCGTCCTAAAAAAAAAAAGGTGCCATGTGACGTCACTGGAATCATCAAGGGGGATCATTCCCAAATGGCCGTGAAACAGGTGGATGTTTGACACAATTTATCCCTGTATCATATGTAAATGATTAAATGATATTAAATGAATACATATCCTGCCTTTCCTAGATTCTTAGATTCCAAGTAGCTGAAACATAATTTTTAGATACTTTTAGCCGATTTTAGCCCTTACAGGTGAAAGAGTGGTTGGGAGGTGATTATCAAAACCCTTCTCAGTTGCCTTGCTCCCAGCTATCGGCATTTGGCTTATAACTGGAAAGCAGGGGCCCTTGTTGTATTTGACATCTTTACTTATTATGTACTGCACCTATAATTACATCCCTTTATATATATATATATGTAAATATATATATATATATATACATATGTCCAGCATATTCCCATGACTGTAAATCCCCATGTTTGTTTTTCAAATTCCCAATTTTCATCGCCGATCTTCAAAAATCGACTGATCAGATCTTCGCGTGGATGCCAACGGAGTGATGGAGGATTCGCTGCTTCCGGCCACCCACAAATGATAGTAACGTGGTAAACCCAATATGACCATGAATGGGTGGTATAAACCACCCCCAAATAGTAAGTTTATGATTGGGTTTACTAGGTCTACCACAAAAAAATCACTTGATACTAAACCGGCACCCCTAACAATAAACATCCGGGTTTTTAGTATTAGGTTTTTTTTAGTATTCGGGTGCAAAGCTTTCCCCTAATACTAAATTTAAAACCATACGACTAACATTTTCTATTTCAAAATCGATTACATTCCTTTTTAACATCTTATTAAAATATTGCCAAACATTGCATTTCGAAGGTTCGCCTAATATTAAATTAAAAACCTACTTCAATAAAAGACTATTGTCTTCTATTTCAAAATCGATTATATAAATTCCTTTCTAAATCTAGTTAGAATATTACCAAACATTGGATTGCGAAAGTTTCCCTATATAACATTAAACTAAAAACCTTAATTAATAGAAAAACATGATTTTAAAGGACGGACCCTAATAGAAAACACCCCGGTGTTGACTACTTCTTTTATTAGGGGGTGAAACCCTCAACTAGGAGCTTCATTTTCAAATTGTTTTCTAAAGAGAATCAAATTGGCAAACTTCAAAACTTCAAGTAAGTTTCCCAAAATTTAAAATTGACCATAGTTTTTCGTATTTGGGGTACGTTTAGTACTGAGAACCAACCAACCAAATCAAGTTTTACGAAGTATGGGAAGAATATATGGCCATTGTAAACCTATATGATTTTTTACAAGAAAAAATGGTCAAACCCATGTACATACAGATACACATATAGACATGAATGCGATTGTATCTCAAAGTATCCCATCAATTATCCCTTAAAATGCTTAGTTGCTTGGTATTTTCTACTTTCCCACGAGACTCGATTTGTAAAGTGACGCGGTGAGGACATGGTGGAAGTCAAGCTGTGAGGCTTGGTGCCGGGACCCTCAAAATGGACTGGATTGATGGGAAGTAGCCATGGTTGTAGCCCTGTTACAAGGGGGGTTGTCTCACTGAGAGTGTCTGAAAATTGTGGATTGACCCCTGGCAATGTTGGCATCAAATTGGCAAAATGTGCCAGTTGAATCGTGAAAATGAGGTTCTAAACCAAGTAGCTGATGTTTAGACAAATCCACTTGGGGCCTACGGTCGGAAAAAAGCCTAAGGGTATGCGGATGGTTCCTTGGGTCGGCTTCGGGAAGCGAAGATGTGGGTTGAAACTACCCCGAAAAAGCCAATCAGTCCAGTGGTGTAATGGAATGGTGATGAGTCAGGTCTCTGGGTCTGGATATTCCTCGTATGAACCAATATTTGACCCCTCTTCAGCATCAAAAAAGAGGACCGCCCACTTTGATTTCACTTTTGCATGACTCTCTGGCTCACAAACTTTTCCGATTACTCTTGTGGTTTCATATATATCTATATATTTTTATTTAATATACAGCGTGTGTATATATATATATACATGTAATATTATATAATTGTATATCTATTGTGTATATATATATACATATATGCACATATGCATGTTCATGTTTTTCGGGACAGGTTGTAGGATGTTCGCCATGGAATCCCCTTATTGGACTGGGGTAGCTTCGTCGTCTGGAGGGTTTTTCTGATGGATCCACCATGCGAATCCCCCCGGAGCCAGCCAGTAAACCATCCCTAAACTTTCTGCTGGGAGGTATAAACCATCAATTTTGATGGTTGGTTAATGACATTGCTTTACTAACATTAACATTAGTACAGTACCCTCTGGTTATTTAAGATAGCTATGGAAAGTCACCCTTTTTAATAGGTAATTCATAATGTTTATCATCTTAAATAATCTATTTTCATGGGCCATGGCTTCCATTGGCTTCCATATCATCATAAATCATTAAAAAAATCATCCGTACCTGAACCATTTTCCATAGCTATGTTAAATAACCATAGCTTGGGTCGTATTTTTGTGGCGAGATGAGCCGCTCGACCCTGGCCGCACCCGCCGTTCGGCTGCTGCTTGCGGCCAGGCTGCTGGTCTGAAAAGGCGGGAGATAAATTGGCCAATTTTGGGCGATGTTAAGGTGGAAACTGAGGATACCCTCTGGTAAATTTAACATAGCTATTGAAAATGGCCATTTATAGTGGATTTTCCCATTAAAAATGGTGATTTTCCATAGTTATGTTAGTTTACCAGAGGGTAAGCCATGAACTTTTGGGGTCTGAAATCTCTAAACTCGAGACGATTTTTTTCACGCCAGGTGAAGGGGTAAACATGACAGTCGTACTTCTGTTGGCGAAAAATTCTGAAGCTCTGCTACTTGTAACATAGATGAAGGAAGGGGTCCATAAGATTTCACTGCTGGACATGGCCTTTGTTGGGTTCCATGTAAAATTTAAGTTTTCAGTCTATGATGAGGAACTGGAGTACTACCGGGTGACAGGTTTTTTTTTTTTACCACAATATGTTTTATGCATGACATCCGTTTTGTTTTTCTGCAGTAGCTGGCAGCAACCTCCAAATAGATAGAGAAGAACCTTGAACAATTGAAATTAGGTCCATATTAAACATTTGTCAGAAAGGATCAGTACATATAATAGGATTAATTTAGTATTGGTTTTGGAATGATTGGGCTTATATCGTACACTTCTATTTATAACGTTATTGAAAGCCCTCCATAGGGGAAACAAGGGGCAACACCATTCCAATAGGCGTGCTCAACATTCTTGACTTCCAGTTGGGGTTTCCTACTGCATATTCTCTCGATGTTTTTTTCTTTAATTTCTAATTACTAAATTTAAATATTCCCCCAAATGGTTATGGCTCAAAGCAATTGACCCTTAAAAAAGGCCCAGTGTATTCACACCACATTTTAGGTCACCATTAATGTGTATATATATACATATATAGACTGCATTATACTACATGTATATATGTATACATCCCATATGTATGTAATGTAATGTAATGTAATGCAATGCAATGCAATGTAATGCAGTGCAATGCAATGCAATGCAATATAATGTGACGTAATGT